CGTTCCCCGCGAATACCCAGGATGTTTGTGACACCCCGTTCTTCCTCTCGGCGATTTTAACATGCCATAATTTGATGCCCGTCTATTTTTCATTCAGCTCGTGGCATCTTAAGCGCATTGCCGAGAAAGAAAGACATTTTGATAGCCTACCTCCCAACCACAGGCTATTATTGAAGAAATTCGGGGACCATTTCAACATGGTTCGTGAGTGCATATTATACAATGCAGAGTTCATCGACGAAATGATTCTCGAAGCGGAGCGAATGTTCCTGAACGAGGACTATCAGTGTGTAAGTGAAATCTCTGCATTTGTAAACACATTTAGTTGGACGAGCATTTACCCCGCGGTTGATTCATCTAGTACCAAATTTCTTCTCGTGATATCACTTCTATTAATCACGGCCACTCGCAGCATCGTTTTAAAGCACAGCTTTTGCTCGATAGCAGAAGACGGAAGCGGCTGAGCCAGTCAGGCCAGCGGATATGGACAAAGTGGACTCGACCATGGTACAACTAGTTCGTGACTGGAGTGGAGCCGGAAGTGAGGAAAGAAAAGCATCTTATGGCATGGTGGTTCAAGCTCTTGAGGAGGAATTCTCTGATCTACTACCCGAGTCAGTTTATTTTCGAATAAATAGTTATGTTTGATCTTCTCCCGTGAAATATCGCAACTTTTCCGCCGAATCACCGGCAAGGTTTTTTCTACTACGGAAAGAGCTCAGTAGCGGAAAATTTGAATTCTTTTTCAATGAACCAAGGTGTTGGACACAATTGTGTTTTCTTTGTCCCTGTACAGATTTTTTTTGTATCCATAAGCACGGAGAAGATGTAGTAATCAGTCATTTTTTTGTGAAATGTGAAACTTCATTCACGCAAGTCAATTTTCAGGAACGTAAACCATCTGTCAAGGGGATCTTGAGAGAATTTAAATTATCACGGAAGATGTTTCAAATGTCATTTAAATTTGACGGGATTTTTTCAAGAGAAAAGATCATCATTAATATCGCATTCATCTGAAATTCAGGTCAATTATTTTTCATTCTCAATTTTACAGAGAACGCTCTGAAACGAGAGTTCTTGTACCCGGAGCAGGACTTGGGCGCCTAGCTTTCGAAATATTCCGGAGAGGCTTTTCCAGTGAGGGCAATGAGTACAGCATGTTCATGCTTGTTGCTGCAAATTTCATGATAAACAGGTAAATATTTGAGTGTTTTTTTTTCCTCCTGTTCATGTTGATACGATCTAAGGCTCTTGCCTTCCACCTTTTATTTTTATAGATTTAGCGGGGAACTGAATTCAATCAAAATTTATCCTTGGGTGCCGAGATTCTGCAATAACCTAAAGGCGGAAAACCAATTGAAACCCGTTCTGTTCCCCGANAATCAGCCAATTTTCTCGCAATTGCAGTTTACTCACTAAAAGTGCAACATTATTTTACAGGTTTATTCCAAGGGACCTAAGAACAAATGGGACAGTGTTGCAACGTGTTTCTTCTTGGATACGGCAAATAATGTATTAAACTACGTGGAAACAGTTTTCAGAATCCTTAAACCTGGTGGAATTTGGATCAACATCGGCCCCTTATTGTATCACTACGCAGACATGAAAGATAATTTATCCATCGAACCGCCGTATGACATTCTTAAAGAATGTATTGTGGCCATTGGTTTCAAGTTCGAGGTGGGTTGCATTTTCTGCGTAGTTTAAAATGTGCATGTTCTAATCCAATGATGCGCTTTGAAGGCTATGGTTGACCTGTTTCCTACAGGGAGGCATAACTTGAAGTAATCATTAATTTCTTGGTTTCATCTCCGCATTTGATTGAAGACAACATTTGGGGATGTTTTCCTGTTGAAGGGAGAAAGGGAATTTTTTTTTCTGAAAACAAATGTTCATGTTCAAAATGTGTTCGCGGATAAAATCAGAAGAACATTATATCAAGTCTCACTTTCAGGATTATGTCGCATTTCCAGTTATCAAACCTCAGGATATAAAAAGGAAAAATTTGAATTTGAAGTACAATTTGTGAAGTTTTAAATTCAAATAGATGTGGCCTGGAATTCGAAAATTTTGAATGCCCATTTTAGGACCTACATTTCAAGGCTCGTGAAAAAATTTTTCTCCATTTAAATAAGACATTCGGTGTTCTTTGCGGTGAAGGGTTTTACAGTGCTGTTTCACCTTGACTGAATGCTACAATTGATCTCCATTCTAGCATTTCATTCAACTGTTGGTTGTTTCTTTTTCTTCTATCATTGATGCATGAATGGTGATTTATTGCGGTGAAGGGTTTTACAGTGCTGTTTCACCTTGACTGAATGCTACAATTGATCTCCATTCTAGCATTTCATTCAACTGTTGGTTGTTTCTTTTTCTTCTATCATTGATGCATGAATGGTGATTTATGGCTCATTGCTTTTCTTTTGTATATTTTCAGAAGGAAGAAGTGAACGTGGAAACGCCATACGCCTGTGATATGAATTCTATGAATAAAAATACGTTCAGAAGTGTGTTCTTTGTGTGTCGAAAGCCGACAAATTTTGAGCAGTCGTGACAAATGCATGCCTCGCTGCATCATATCTTGTTTTTGTTTTTCCAATCATTTCAAAGCAACCGTCGCGTACAGTTGTGTCCAGAACTTATCATGTGTAGTCTCAAAATTGTCCTACTTCTCGTGGCCTCCATCACTGTTTGTAATGGCCAGTTACCAATTTTTTCAATCGTGCCGAGAGTGCTGAGATTTCCCATCACAATCGGGAAAAATATTTTTGGGGAGTTGATCAGAGGTGATGGGACGTATTCGCGTGAGAACTTACGCCAACCTCCAGCTTCTTCAGGAAGTATGCAAAGACCTGTTCATGGAACAACTGACAGACCTGATCCTGGAACAACCGAAATATCCAGGAGAAATAGCAGTAGTGCATTAGGGGAGTTCCCGGATTTATCAGTAATTTTTAAATACAGCTTAGATTACTCAATGACATTTTATGAATTTGGACCTGTTGAAGATGCTAAAAATGGATGTACACTAGAGAGGTTATAACTTAGAGAAACTGGAGCTGAAAATTTTATGTCGCAATTATGGGGATGGGGCAGAAAAATAGCAGTTCTAAAGATAATTTTCAATTATTTAAAATGACAAAGGGGAAGAGTCAGAAGCCGCTGCAAAATGAGTTTGCGAGATGCAGAATATCAAGTCAATTTTTTAGGTGTCAAATTACAATCACTCACTTCCTCTCCAAAATCAACTCGCTTTTAAAATTCCTGTTTTTCTTTGTCTTCAAAAATTTCAAGTCAGAGAGGATAGTCAGTTCACAGATTTCAAGTTAAGGAGGTTCAGGTAACACTCTTTTAAAGGAATTTGGACTATGACTATAAAAACAATTGAGTCCATGAGGTTCAAGTTGAGGAAGTCCAACTGTAAATTGCAAGAACTGGGTTTAAATCCTTAGCATTACAACAGAGGTTTGTGGATTATACAAGACAAGAAATGAAAAGCTCTAGACATGAAAGCATTTGCAAACCTATGCTGGCAGTGGAAAAATCCATCAGTGATCTAAATAATAAAATTGCATGCTAAAAAGTAGGCTGGTCTCAGAATTTTAAATCTTTGCTTCAGCACATTTCAGACAACTCTTTTGAAATTGAAAACAAATCTTATCTTAATCCAGCTCAACTTTATACGCGCAGAAATGATGAGCAAAGGTTTCAATTTCACTCCCACAGGCACATTTAGCTTTAAGCAGCAGAGGACAATCAAGTACGCAGGATTGATCATTGGGTTCCTATTTGGGGGCATAATAATTGGACCAATCATTGGCGCAGCTCTTGGAACAGGTGCTGGTGGACTGTCAGCAGATGTCATCAATACCATCATTCTAACTATCATTGATGGTCGTCTGCAAAAGGGACATTTTCAATACGTTGGTTGGCTAAGAGGAATTCAAGAACGACGTCTACAAGGGGGTTTCCTGGGTTTATTGCTAAATATTTTGCTTTCCACGTTTGAAAACTTTGTGGTAAACTTGTT